TGTGTGTGTGCATGCGTGCGTGCGTGCGTGCGTGTGTGTGTATCTGTGTATCCCGGGGTTGGGGGTGGGCTTGATGGTTACCAAGGCGACAGAAATATCTTTTCCCTGTTCTTTTACAGCAGGAAGCAGGAAGACTTCATCAACTCTGGATGACCCCCCAGAAACACAGGTGCAACATCTTCCCTTTCTCTGTCTGTCTTCCTCCTCCTCACAGCGTCTCTCATACACACAAAAGCATACACCACACCCATAGGCATATACACAAACACACACACACACACACACACACACACACTGCATTGCACTTCTATGTATAGGGCTGGGACATTGGTGGGTTCATCAGCTGCTCAAATTACAGAAATTAAATAGACAACTTTGATTTTTTTCCAAGCTAAAGCGCCAGGTTCTCGCTCTGTTTCCAGCTTCTCTCTTATGTGATCTGAGGATGAGTGTTTCCGGGAATGTTGGTTAAACAAGACAGAGGCAGTTTGAGGATGTTGCCTTATGAGAAGTCATGATTAAAGTATTGATTTCATGTATCTTCTGTATTAATGAGTCATGTGATTATTTATACCTGATTAAATTTATATAATATTGCTTTTTCTAGTCGTGTCTGTTTTTTTTTCTTCTCACTTGGAGACTGTAGAAAAATCAAGTGAGGACGAGGATCAGAAAAGGTGAACAGTTGTGTTTTTAACAACTCAATATAACACAATTACATTATTATAAGACATTGTGTGTTTTTTTGTTAATTATAGGGAGAATCCAAAGAAATGATCAATAATGCTGGGAAGGTCTTTCTTATATGATCATTTCCATAAAGTCCCTTAATAATTACGCCTTACATTTAATGGAGTTTTGTTTGAATAAAAGAAAGAAAGAAAGAAAGAAAGAAAGAAAGAAGGAAAGAAAGAAAGAAAGAAAGAAAGAAAGAAAAAATGAAATGCATTCCATCTGAATATTCATTATAAAACCACTGTGGTGTAAAATCCATTACTTTGACATTCTCATGAATAAAAAACAAAAGAGCAGAAATTTCCCCACAGGGATCAGAGTGTGTGTCACTCACTCACAAACCTGATTATTGACAATAAGGCCTTTCTAATGCTCAGCTGCTGTGTGTGTTGCAGATAGCTGCAGTGCATGATGAAATACAATGTGGGGAAGATGCTGCCAGTAAATGTGAGACCAAACGGGGAAGAAAAAGGAGAGATAGACGTCTGACAAAGTGACAAATGATATGAAAAGAAATGATGAAAATGACACAGTGATTGTGATCTGACATGTCTGTTTTACATGCATATTAAACTGGGGTTGCTATCAGATCAATAGTGACTTTTTGGGCTTACAACATTTAACACAAAGGTTAGAAACAGCATTCTTTATTATTCTCTTATAAATAATTGCATGAATTAATAGGAAACATGTGTGGTCAAAAGCAAATGAAAGGTTTAAGTAAAATTCGGTATACTCTTGGTTATCTCTTAACAAGGAGGACTCAGGGAATGTTTAACATGCGACACTCTGGTTTGGACCTTTTCTTGGCTCTGTGCCTCATGAGTGTAATTTGGATGAGTGCAGCTCGCTTGCCTTTGGGCTCATTAACAACAATATAAACAGTAATTACTGTGATCGCCTAATTAATTCATTTAAAAATGCTGCACGGCGTAAAAGGCATGAGCAAATCTTTTCTGGAGATAACAATTTTACGAAATTATTGTTGGCATAATTAGCAATTTCATGTTCCAAAATACAAGTGAAATAATTAAAATTCTGTTTTGTCCCGTTTCATACATGTACTGTTTTATTATTCAGATTCCTCGTGCTTTTCACTAAGCCTGCTTTCTGTGAGTTATCCTCCTCTGATCCCGTCTCTGTCTGCATGGCAGCTCTGCAGCCCTGATAAATGTAATCCTCCCCTCTGGACACATTTCTTTGTTTTTAGGCCATTTCCACGCTCTCCTCTGATCACCAAGCTTTACTTATTATAGAATTCTTTGCCTTCATTCAGTGGGTTTTGTTGGATTAAAGAATGGTCATTTGGGCCTCAACTGTCCATTAATTCTATCTACTTTATTGGCCAGTTAATTGTGATTAACAGTAATTAAGATTCAGCTGAACAAAGAATAGATTTGTTTTGCTTCTGGACAATAGACATTATAAATGATGAACTCTTTCAGTTTCAGTTCTCGCACCATGCCCACATCAAGATTTCCTCCAGAAACAACATTTCAATTAAGTCTCACAATGAGCAGCACAGATCTGTTCCATGATAACGAGTTGTCATACTTTCTATATGAAGGACAAAATCAGCTCGGCTGGAAAGTAGACCCCAAAATGGAACAAAGTATATCCACGTTTTGTGTCTATATAAATTCCAGTGGCCTCTAATTGTATTATGTCATTAAATATATTTATATAGTAAAAGCCATTGTTTGAATTTCTAACTCATGCAGTGCTTTAATGGGGGGGAATATTAATGCATAATATGAGAACTACAATGTCAGAAGAGAGGGACAGAGTGGTTTATGTTACAGGCATAGTCCTCTGACCCTTCAAAACCCCAATTAGTATTCCTGCTGAATTTATTACCACGCCAGGCATCACTTCTTGTTTATTACGTCTCTACTCATTAAAATGAGAATTAGATTTATGGACAGATCTGACTGGTGCATGGGTGAGGGGGGAAACACACTACATCAGAATGGGGACAAATCTGTGTTTGATCCAGTGCAGTGTGGTGGATGTTTTAGTTTTAAGTGCCAGAGATTAATGGTAAGGATAATTATTTAGATTAAAACCGAGGCAGGGGTTATGAGAGGTAACAGTGACATATCAGTGAGGTGTGAGGTACAAAATGCCTCTCATCCACACACACACACACACACACACACACACACACACACACACTCAATTTTCTTTTCTTGATGTAAGAAAAAAATCTACTGACTTATATGGTCATATGTACCTAAAGTGGATGTTTGACCGGCATTACAGTGATTCTAACTCACTATATGTTGAGATAAATATCTTATAAATAAGCCTGTATTTTCAGCCATTCAGCGGGATGACAGTAATACAATAAAATAATTGAATGAATGGATAAATCTTATTTTTGGTACCTGAACTTGTATGAGCTGATGTGATATGCACAAAATGGGAACTTACTGTGGAGCACAGCACTCTATCGCCACCTGCTGGTCTTAACTGTACACAACTCCATGCCCCTTATTAACACAGACTGAGTTATTGGTTGATTGATTCAGTGTCACATTTTGCAGTAAAATCCAGAATATTCTTTCCCAGAAATCATAATGTGTTTATATGTGTTATTAAGATCATTTATAGCCTGTCCAAAGCTTTGTGCCACAGCAGGTCCACACTGACTCTTTTCTGCACAGGTATCATACTAAGTACTAAAGCATACTATACAAAAATATTATAGGAAAGCATCAAGTAAAGCCTGACATGCAGCTTCTATTTTCTTAAAGCAGAGCCTTCTGCTGTTGGGATTTAAACTGTTTTACTAATTGTATTTTAAAGGTCCCATATTTTACATTTGAAGTGTTGATCAGATTATATATTTGTGGTTTTAAGAACCAAAAACCATCTCATTGTAGTTTTACAACTCCTCTCTCAGGCTTCTCTCTGGAGCTCTAGTCACAACAGGTCAATGATCCAATCAGAAGAGAGGAGGATCTGAGCCTATCTTCTGATTGGCTGACCTTTTTCTGAGTGATTGAATAAAAATATAGCAGATTTCAGGTAAATACTCAGAGAAGCCAAATCCTGCAAGGATGGATGGTGGGTCCAGGTGGGCAGGGCTTGAGCAGTGAATGCTTTGTTGTGACATCACAAAGTTCCAGAAGTCCTGACGGCTGGTTTTAAGGCTCAGTTTCTGAATACAGGCGGTGTGCATTTCTCTGTGGACTGAGGCTTTGATACTTTCACAGTATTAATATAGAATCTAGACCTAATTTATAATCAAAGAACACATGGAAATCTAACTTAACACAATATGGGACCTTTAAAGAAATGTTAGCTTTAGTATGCTGTACAGTTGTAATGATGAATAAAACCAATTGGATTTAATTTGGTTGGTATAGATAATCAGTATTTAAAGACTGATAGGCAAAATAACATGATCAGGACATCCATACTTCTAACTGAGCTCTGTGACTTTTCAATTAGAAATATTGTTAACAGTCACTTCAAACAGATGCTCTGACACCCACTGTTTTTGGTTCTTGTGCCTGTGCCTGGTAGGGCCATTTCCAAATTGAATTATTTTTAATGAAAATTAACAGGCAGAGTTGTTAACTCAACTCAGTGGTCATTTGTGAAAGTACATGCTTTCAGCCAGTGTCAGTGATGGTCTCCTTGTAACCACTGTTCATGTTTCATATGACTGTCATATTTCATGATATTTGGTATTTTTAATATTTTCCTTATGATTTTTGAGAATTTTCTTCAAACCACGTTACATATATTTTGCAGTACATGTGGTTAATGCAACGCCAATTCATACGGTTATTTCTTCTATGATATAAAGTTTCCTTAAAACTTGCAAACACTGGAAAAGTGTCATAAAGACATCTGCCAAAGAAGGAACTGTATTAACAGTTAAGATTAAGATTATAGCCTTGGGGAAATGGCCCATTTTCCGTGGTTGCTCACTAGGTGGCGCCAGAGGCTAATTTAAAAATGAAACGTAATTCAGAGAGGAGGAAGAAGACAGAAGTCTCACTCTGCTCATTTCTTGATACCACAAATGCAAACAGATGTGTCTTCCACATATTGCTTCCCGGATGGAGAGTTAAAATGTAATTTTTTGCAAAAACAACCACCCTCTCTCGTGTCACAATTCACGAAAAATGTCTCTTATGCTATGTCACAGGGCGCATGCGTCAATACAAACACAATTTTGCAGACCGGAAGACGAGCCAATTTTTATCTGGTGTAGCACATCACCTTTCTATGCAATCTTCGATGTAACTGACTACACACTGACACTTGTTGGGGATACATGTGTTCCTGCCTGTCGCAGTTTACCTGTTTACCGGTAGATGAAGACACGTCCGATGACATCGTTAACTTAAGTGGTAAGTCGGGTAAGTCGCCTGTTTGAGCTTAGCTGTTTATGACATTTATAGCTCTCGTTCCTCTTAAAGAGCCCTATTTAAACTCAGTCATTACAGCTGTGTTACATTGTGGTAAACTGCAGTCTATCTTCTCTATCTGGTTGAGACTATAAGCAGTCTGATAAACATTACCTCCGCACACACTGTCGTTTAGAAGACGTTTAGCTAGCTACTGCTGTCTGTTTGAGCAGCAGGTTAGGTCAACACTCAGTAAACCGTGGGTAGCTCTGGCGCATCCAACAACAGTAGCATCTTAGCTTGCTATGCTAGTAGAGATTTGTAGAATACAAATCATTTCTATGTTTGGCTACAAGGTTTAAATGTTCCGAGGGCTTTTGTTCTACTGTTACGGTTGCAGTAGCGTTGTGTTCTCGTTGTTGTGTATTTATTGTTGGTGTAAAGATTTGCTCAGGTTGTACCACAGGCGGATACATATTAAAACAACTAAGTTTTACTGGTACATGGCTCTGATGTGGGCAGAAAGTTTAGATGGATTTTTAGGTTGAAGGTTGAAGAACCGAAGACCACACAGAACCATGTATGAAGTGATGTAGTATTTTGTTATTATGATAATCACACCTCTGTTGTTGGGAGGTTCAACAGTCTAACTTTATGCATGCAAATCATAATGGGATGATGATGATTTTTTTTATAACAAAAGTTGGGTCTGATTTATACATCCCCATTTCACTAAGAGATTTCTTACATAAGGCAATACAGACACGTTTTATAAATTACACAATCAAGTTAATAAGCATGAACTTTGCTTACCCACTTTTTATATGAATTTGTCAATGTTAAGCAATGAAATCAACTTTTATCATTAAAAATTCTTAAAAATGACAAATCTTTGTTTAAAAAATTACTATTAGTAAGTATATTATTATCAGATTCTGTTAAACTCCCAAATATCATTATCAGTATTTGCTTCAAAAATCCAGTTTTGGACAGACTAGATACTTGGTGTGACGTATTAGTGCAAGCCTATATGAGACAGTGTTTGAAAAGAAAATGCATTTTTATATTAAATACAGTATTTATTTATTTTTTATTTAATTTATTATTATCAATCAATCTGCTGACAATTTCAATTTATCAGTTAAACATTTTGGCCTATAAAACATCCAAAAATTATTATTTTTTAAAAATGTTCATCACATTCAATGTGAGTTTAAAATGAGAAAAACATTCAGTGTACTATCATGTGAAACAAGACAGAGCAGTTCACATCTGAGAATCTGGAACCAGCATATATTTGGAATTTTAACTTGAAAATTAATTTAAATAGTCCCTTTAAAATGGTTGCAGATTTATTTTCTGTAAAATCAAATAATTATTCCAACCATATTTAATTTACATCAAGAAACCTCAAATGCTTGTAACTTACACCTGTGGTAGATGGAATTTTTTTTTTTTTTTTTAGGAAATTTTTTGGGGGCTTTTTATGCCTTTATTAGATAGTACAGTAAAGAGAGACAGGGAACGGGGAGGCAGAGAGAGGGGTTAATGACATGCAGTAAAGGGCTGTCCAATGCGGGATTCGAACCGGGGCCGACTGCAGTGAGGACTGTAGCCTCTACATATGGGGCGCCTGCTCAACCCACTGCGCCACTTGACGCCCCGTGGAAGATGGAATTTACAGTCTATACTGCTATAGCATGTGAGAATATTTACTTAAACACCAACTACACCCTTACAGACGTATGTTAGTATGTTAGTGAAGGTCTTAAGTCATTTCCCCTCAGTGAGAGACATTTTTTCAACACATCTCTGTATGAAAAGTGCCCTGAGATGGCTTCTGTTATGATGTGAGGCTGTATGAATATAATTGGCTTGACTTGACTCTCTGACAATCTCTCAGTATGATTATTATTTGTTGTATATGTTGTTACAGCAGAGTAAAGCATCTGGTAGCAGTATCATGGATGTTGGAGGTGTTGGTAGGTGCAGATCAATAACAGGAAATCAGTGGTAGCAGACGCTCTCTGGATGTGCAAAGTAGATTTCTCACCCAATCTCCTGAGTTCATTACATGTACAGAGAGGCAGATGAGCCGACATCTGGGGCAAATGGCACATCATCAGGCGGAGTGATTTGACGGCTGTAGTCAGCATCAAGGGCGTCCTACTGCTACTGTTAGAGCTTAATCAGAGATTGGGTTGAAAAATCTATATTACATATTGACTTTATCCTCAGTGAAAGTACCTCTATGATAGTGTTTATTGCTAATGAAGTTAAAGGTCTACACCTGTACTGCATGTATATCTTAGATATTTTTATTATTTTTAAATTATCCCACATGAAATATTTATTGTGCTTGTGATTGTGTTTTCCCAGCCATGCTAAATAAGATCACAGAGTGTGGAGTAGAGCAGTCAGTGAGTGTCCGAGAAGCTGTAATAATGTGGCTGTGATAAGAGCCAGTTGTACAGTAACATCATCTGAGGTTTGCTGCGAGTCAGTGTTTCTACTGACCCCATGTATGAACTGTGATTTCAAACCAGGATCTCATGCTTCTGTTGGGTCTGCGGGTCGGTGAGCTTGAACCACACAGCTCACACTCCCCTGGACTCCAGTCAGTGATTTACAATGACCCACTGACCTACCCATTAAATTAACATGCACTGTGTGCGCACACGTTTATGAGTACAAACACAAATATACACGCATGTCAAATATAGTAAGTGCAGAAACTGGTCATTTGAAAAGTATGTTTCTGTCCATCCTTCTTCAGGTGCTGTCAACTTTCAGTTAAGGTCATTGGTGAATAAAGAAGGACGCTATAAACTCAAACACCAGAGGGAGTGACCCAGCAGTGTGAAACCACTCACCTGGGCTGCAGGCGTCTACACCTTCCACCCAGTGAGTGACAGAACTACAGATAATGTATTAATTGTTGCTAACCTGATAGTTTAAAGATACCATACATGCTATTACACCCCCAAAGTGTGGAACACACTGCGTCTGGATGTTAGAACAGAAAGTTTGATCTGTATTGATTGTACCTATACTTCATTTCAACACAGTGCTTTCTAAGCACTTTCAATGACTCACTGCATTTGTCAGAATAAAGCTTTGGGCAGCACAGTGGTTAACACTGTGCTCTCAGAGCATGAGTTGGAATATGTGCTTTGCCACAGTCCAAAAACATGTAGTTTAGATGAATTCCCTATAGATGTGAATGTTGGCCTGTCGCCCAACACATGCTGGGACAGGTTCTAGCCTGTAATCAGTTTAGAAGATGGATGGATGAAAGAAGATAAAAAAAGATTCTCATTCACTGCTTATTGTGAATCCAATGGGAGATTTCCAGAATTTGTGACTATTAAGTGGCAAAACACTATGATATCAGTATTTCATTTATTTATTTGTTGCTGATCATGAGATAGCTGTTGTTTAGCAAGCAGGTTTATTTAATCCCAGAACCAGTTCTAATAGATGTTCGAGTAGCTCTTATGTGGCTGTTCCTTATGTCTTTATTGAGTTTATATAGATAATGACTCTGTTATTGCAGTTGAAGTTTTTTCAAGTGGACTGAGCAACAAAACCTTTCATTCTTTGTTTTTCTTGCCAACTGGAAATGTGGAGGAACTTTTTACTTAGTCTAATTAGTCTCAGTGTAATAGATGTTACATCATAGTGTTACCTTCATGACACTTGTTCTAATTATTGGCCTGGGGCCAGGAAGGGGCCCTGAGCTCCATATTCTGGGTGAGGTTGACATCATTGGTCAATTCAAGGGCTCTTGAATCACTTGTCAGGCTCCAAGCCGAGGATCATTGTGCACTCGGAGACCAACAAGAGCTGTTTCCCCTGATGTCACAGCAGTTTAACTAGAGAAATAAAAATAGATATTACGTATGAGAGATAAATGATCCTATAATCATACTATAAAAGTATCATTAATTCCAAATAATGACTCCAAACAAATCTTGCGAAACTACAATTCATTCTAAGTAACTGTGAGTGAATGGTAAAAACCAATGGCAGTATAGTGAGCAGGATTAGATTTGCAGACATGTTCCCTGTAATGGTGCAGTGGCTGTGAGGAATTTAGCCAGAGCTGACATCATGTCATCACTTGTATGTTGGTTGTTTGGTTTTCTTTGGCTCTTTTTCCTTATCAAGCACGGAGACAGTGTGGGAAACAGTTTCTACATTTGTCCTTCAATTTTCCCAACATGGATAGTTAGAATTGCTGGCATTCCTTATTGAAACCCAGGACTCAGCTGTACCACGGCCAGATGAACCCCCCTGCTGGTAATAAGAACGTCAAACGAGTCAGATTACAGTTTTGTCTGTTTGTTTTTACTTACCATTTATTGGCAAAAGGATTTTAAACATTACGACTTGAGAGGTTGCTACCCAGGACATCATATTCATTCAGTATGTGCCTTTAAAAAGCTGAAACTATATTTCCAATATGTCCTGTGAAGAGGAAAAATAACCCATTGAAATTCTAAATGTCAAGGCATGTCTTTCATGAAATATCCTTGAAGCACCAATGTACAGACAAATATCACAGCATCTCACCTGCCCTGTAGTGTACACAGCTCTGCCGACGTTCCCCTGTGCCTCTGCTCTGCCCGACACACGTGTGGCTTAGTGGCTGAGACCAAACAGGATCATCAACTGTCAGCCTCGTGCTTCCCACGGACACAGTGGTGACAGCTTGAACAAGGGAACATGATGTGCTGCCCGCCGCCTTCAGGAGAAGGCCTGACACACTACACCCCCTCACTCCAACCATTCATAGGCGGATCATTTTGTGAGTGTAGTGTTTGTGTTGCAGTGTGGCTTGCTCATGATTTCATGACAATTTCAATTTCATTTTTAAAAAATACCACCCAGCTCAGTTCAACCTATTACTCAAAAAAAAAAAAAAAAATGTTGTCTGAGAAGCCTACGAGTGTCATTATTGTCACTACATCCGCCGCAGACTTTTCTACAGTCTATGGTCGTCACCCCTTAAACTACAACAAACGCTGGGAAAGCATCTAGTTTGCTCTAGTTATGCTGTGTCACTTTGTCATTGCTGTTGCTCTTTTGTGTAAAGTCATGTCATCATCTCTAGCTAGCTAGTGGCTAAATCTGGTGCAAAACGTCTGAGATTAATGTTTTTGTACACAGTCCCTGACAAATACTTCAATAAGAGAATAATATTAGTATAGAAAAAGAAATAGGACTGGTGGCAACTTGGTGTTCAACATGTCATGTTTGTCTTCAGTAATGTAGATTTATAATTGTGGTCCTTACAGGTGGATTATACAAAAAATATATTAATTAAAAAAACACCACAAATTCTCAGCTTAAAAAAAACGTGAAAATTTTCCACATTGAACCAAAATAAAGTGTCAAAATCAACAAGTCGCTTACTCTTTAGTCCCTTAGTGTCAGAGTAGTCACTGATGTTTTGAAACTTGTTTTCTAAAAGCCAACACTATGACTAGGTGTCAAACCAACCAACTGACATCACTCAGGGATTTTTCTCTGACTGTTCAGTTACTCATTAAGTCTCCTTGATACTTCATGAATATGTCTCCACACACAGTGTCAAAGCCTCCCCAGCTCTTTGTTGGACACTGCACCGTGCTTCCTCCAGGTAGACTGCTACAGTGACAACTCACTTGGCAGATGGTAGGGTTGGCACTTCACGACCACGACCATAGGTCACACACGGACCACCATCACGAATCCTCTGTCATTTTAGTAGCAAGTTAGTCTGTCCAGCTCGACGGCTGTGTGCTGAATGTTGCTGTGTAGCCATGTTTCAATGAGCCAAGCACGTGAAATTAGCCCATACATCTGCCTCTCTGCCTCTTCCTGGTCACTATTGTTTTCTTTCGATTTAATATCATTTACAATTTTTTTACAATTGGTGACACACGTCTCTTGATGCTGAGGTAACTCTCTCCAAACTCATCATTGGGTGCCATGAATGCTGGATGTCTCTGCAGAGGATTGTCTGGGATGGATCAGTCATACAGAAACATTGTTTTCCAGGTGTATTGTCAGAGAGGACTGAAGGTGTAATGTAAATGAGAACTTGTGGACAAATGCAGAAGACGAGGTTGACTGGTACGATTGTATTTCTATTTTTGTAGCTATCCTTTCCCCAAGTATAGGGAAAATGTATAGTTTTGTATTTCATTATGGGAATGACTTTACTTTCATTTTGTGCACTTGGAATTACTCTATGCAAAGATAAATAAAATGAAGCACTTCTAATTCATTTCTACTTAATATACTGAAACGTTGCATGATCAATTGAATAAAGAAGTGTCCTTTTTGTTAATGGAATCCAGACTTATGCTAAGTAAATATAAGATACTATATTGATACATATTGTGTATGCTGATACTAGTTGTTTGTGTTTTTTGTTGTTTTTAGGTGATTGTGTAACAAGTGACAAAGTGTTATTGTTGAGTTTATCCTGAGATGTGTTTGAAGTGGTTTGGTTGTATTAGCACATCCTGAAAGTGAGATTAAGTGTCGTGCTGAGCTGCAGGTCAGTAAAGAAAAAAAATGTAGGACAAGTTTTGAAAATGGGAACTCTTCTTTTTCATTTTATACAACACAGTGAAAGCAAGTATATCATAGAGTGAGAAGCACCTATGATGTCTCATGCGTGTCAGATTGAGCCTGCGGTCCATAGATGACTGACACCTGGCCTTGTGATTGGTCAGATGCCATTCTTTGACCTGTGAGTCATCACAGCTATGTCTGATGTGTTAGATCATAACAATGGCTGTCATTAAATGTGATGACAGACTGCTGCAGTCTGCAGCATGTATTGATATGCTTTTAAAAACACAAGCTCTGATGGCTAATAATACCATGCACCATATTTGCATCATTGTGGTCAAGAGTCCAATACACAGCCTTTTTCTTCTCTCCTTTTTAATGAAGTACAGTGTGGATTTGTGCTGACTGATAAATCGTATTTTATGAGTGAGGGGTGAACTTTTTGCCCAGTCTCACAACAACTACGGTCCTAGCTCTGTGAGTGTAATCACAACCTTTTGTGAGTAAAAAAGCAGTTAGCGTTTTTCATGACACCACCTATTCAACAAGCTTTAAACATGTAGGAAAGATACATTTTCAATTTTTGCCACATGAGCGCAGCGTGCCAACAGTAAACTTTTGTAAACTTATAACTACAGCTTTTGTCTGTGTTCTTCATTCAGTTTTACTCAGCAAAACTGTGAATGCACACTTCAATATTTGTTTATTTATCGCAAGTCATATCGCCATCGCAATATTGAACAGTGTCATCGCACATTGCAAGTTTTCCTCATATTGTGCAGGACTAGTGTGAACTGGTTTTCACTGTAATAAACTTATTTGCATTCAATCTTAGATGGATAATAAAAATGTTATTATTGTTTCATTGAAGGAGACCACAGGGAGAAAAAGTCAGGCACTGATTGTGAGTGTTGTCACCAGTCTGTTATAACAGTGACATAACAGTTTATAGTTCAGTCCTGTTGGCAGTAACAGTCACTCAATTGGCTGGACAGTAGAGTTAAGCTTCCTAATAGCTCTGCATTACGTGAAGTGCAGAATCATGGCTCTACAGTGAGTTGTGCTGAGGATCCACATCCAGCTTTATTTTTTATACTCATGTCTTTTTACGTTTGATCAAGTGTATTTTGAGGTTTTGCTCTTAATCGACGCTGCATCCTTTACCGCACCCTTCTGTTGGTATGCCTAGAAAACCACATCCCTCTGCAGCCTGTCATTCAAATGTCAGCTGTACACTCAACTGTGTGTCTGTCTGTACGTGTTTATCTGTCCATCTGTCTGTCTGGCATGACTTTCCTCCATTAAGGTCAACTAGAAAGACAGAGACCAACTGCCAG